TTCATGTCAACACAATTCAAATAGATTCTTGAATTTTATCAGATGCAATTTTCCAGTTGTTGTAAATAAATATATCTCAAAAATTGCACTAGAAAGGTAAATTAAGATAGAAATCAACTTACAAGTATCTTATTTAACTTTCAAAATAGGCCAAAGAGAATAGTTTAACTTTTGATGGATAGTCTATACATAGTAAATAACTTTTTGGGCTCTATAGAGGCACCCGCCTTGTTTTTGTAAAAGTTCCATCTATTAGGTAATTCTTCCGGTAGACTTGTTCGGAGGGAGTATTAACATTTGTACAGGAATGAATATTATTTGTCATAGTGACAATGCTCAATGTCCTTCTTTTGTTATCCTTTTTGCATAGAAATATATTGGTAAGGGTCGTCATGCCAGCCAAATCCATCTCCAACTCAAGGAGGTTCTTGCTACAAAAAAAACTGCATCTCATATTTTGGCGATGCTCATTGGTATAATAGCAGAAGCCTAATAACTTTCTAGTCTTTCTCGAAGTTGAATCTGCTTACAATCTACATTGATTACCCACGTCGTTCGTTAGAGAGCAAGTGCTTGTAATAAAAATAACCTGTTTACACAAAGTCAAGCATACCTTTCTCAGCCTTTTGGCTAAGATCAAGTGTAGTATCTGTTCTTATCAGTTTAATATCTGATGTGTAGGTCAACGACTTATATGATATGAACTCAATTTTTTAAAGCGGAAGAACTCATTAAGGTAGCTTGCTGCCTGGGCTCTTGCGCGTTGCACTACTTCACGGGCCTGGCGCACCCCACCAATTCCAGTTTTTTTCTTTGTCTTTCCTATTAAGTCTTGTCTAAGTGTTCAGTTGATTTTCGATTATGTTTAATAGGGCAACTTACGGAAATAGCTATCATAATTAAAATGATTATTCTCCTTAACTACAGTTTTAATAATTACTGACTGTAGCTATATTTTTAGTTGCTATAGGAATGATCGTTTGTATAATTCGCTTCTTTTCAAAGAATATTAAATCGTTAGACTTCATACCAAATACACCACAATTCCTTCGTAGCAACAATCCAGTAATCACACTTTGTTATACAAACTTATACAATGTTATACGTACTTTGAAATTGTTTTAAACTGAAATCGTTGCGCAATTGCATATTCTTCCATTACACACTTCAAGGGTAGCATTATTAATGTATACCTGGTCTACCTATATTTAAGCTTGTTTGACAATAAACTGTAATTCATAATAAATTATATAAAAATGAATTATACAAGATACAATCTGAATACAATGACAACAAATATAGAAATATACAATTTAAATTACAGAATACAATTATGAATTTATACAAATTTGATACATTGTAACAAAAATCCCAAATCAATGACAAAAATATTTACAAATATATAATTTGGATACATAAAAAGGGCACCTACATAAAATCAGCCTTATTTTCCTAAGTAATGTAAATTCTGGAATTGTATAACTATTATAAAACTAAACAAGTCAATATAGTTTATACAAAACACAAAACACAAAACATCATAATATATACAATTCAAATAACAATATATAATTTCGAGTACAACTGAGAAAGAAATCCCAAAACAAGGACAAAAAATATACAAATATACAATTTGAATACCTAAAATCGAATTTCCTTTCCGATATAACATAAATTCTAAAATTGTATAATTATAGTAATACTAGACAATTCGTTATAATGTATACAAACATAAGCATCAAAAATATATAATTTGAAAAGGCATATATACAAGAATGCATTTATACAAAAAATGAGTACATATGGAGATTCGAAGTTTAAGAGTTTATACAAATTATAATATACATATTATTTTTAAAAAAATGTAGGAAGAAAGTAAAATCGCATAATAGTAACCCTAAAAATCTGGTAGCACGATTTGAGAAGGATTGGATGAAAATTTTAAATTTTGAAATCAATTTATTTTGAGTGATTAAAGGAGAAAATAAGGTAATGGATTATGAAGAGAGAGAAGGAATGAACTTGTATGTAGGAAGAGAGATAGCGTACACGTTTATACAAAACTAAACAGTCGTGCCACGTAATTGTAACTTAATGTTAGAGGTGAGCTGTAATTTTCAGAAACTATAGCTATAACCAATAATAAAGTAGTATATATTTGCTTAAGTAGGTAATTTTCCGTATTTAATACTCTCTCTGTTTTTAATTACTTGTTCACTTTTTCTTTTATAGTTGTCCCTAATTACTTGTCCATTTTGACAAATTAAGAAAGAACAAATTTTTTTTTACCTATTGTACCCTCAATTAAATGACTAATTATTTTGAAAAATGTAGAACTTTTCATCCACTTCATAATTAATAGGGGTAAAATGGTAAACTCACTATGTCATTAATTATTTTCTTAATAGGTGTGCCAATTCAAAAGTGGACAAGTAATTAGGGACAATATCTCAATGATGTAATGCACATAATTTGGAATTACACGTGTGACCAAATTTCTAAATGTATTATGGGGTAGTTTGTGAGAAGTCGAAAATTAAGAACCTAAATTAAGTGTTGGATACGTCATGTTCTAACAATTTTTAGTAATTGAGGTAGTAAATGCCATAATTGGTACCTGTATATATTATCCAATAAGAGAAAACATATGGAGTAATAGACATCGTGTCCGACCTCTCCTATTAAACAACATTAAATAAATTAGCCATCCCTAAATACAAATTGATTCTGGACAGAAGTCTAGAAATCTGCATTTTATAAATCTTCAATATCCTTATAACAAAATTCCCAAGCTACTTAAATGATGGGTGGGCCTAACTACCGAAAAATAAAATTTTTGGACCAAATCAAATTAACGGTTTTTTGGTTCAGTTTCAGTTTTTTTTTTTTTCTTTTTGGAATTTCAATTTTTTGATCTAGAGTAATGGTGTTCTTCGATGCATCGAAAAAATAATTTTTTATTAATTAGAATTTTAGAAAATATTTTAAAATCTAAATTATATTTAATTTTGGCCCGAAACCTTTTGATCCATTTTGTTACTCTCTTTACTCTTTAGTTGCCACAAATTAATTCATATTTTTTTTAAAAAAAAAGACCGAAATTGCATCTAATATAAGAAACGTTGTATCTAATTGATGCATGTTTGGTCTAAAAGTATAAAAATTTGGTCTTATACTTTGATAATTTGGTGCTCATTTTATTTTTCATTTGGACAGGTAAAAACGTTTCAGAATCAGCGAACTAAATCGTATGGAAAAAATCAAACCCAACTTATCTTATTTGGTATTTAGTGCACAGTTTTCAAAATCGAAAAATCAAATTTACATTTGATAAAACCAAATAAAGAAAACGAATATCCACCAAATTATATCTACACAAGTTTTTGATCCTAGTGTTAAAACAACCAGGTGAACACAATTAAGCTTCTAAAAATATTGGGATGACTCATCCCTGTTACTAGGGTGTCAAAAATGAACCCAAACATAGGTAACCTGTCCAATCCGTCCAGAATTTTAAGGGTTGGGCTCAAGATAATTTGAATTGAGTTCAATCTCAATCCATTCAAGCCTAACCCATTTTAAGAGAATCTTCAATTTCAACCCGTTTTAAAACTCTTTACTAAGATATGTTCCTATATTAATTGTATGAATTATTATACATTTAACATCTTTTAGGATTTATCTATTCATTTGTTACTTTTAAAAAATAAAATCTTGAGCTGAAATTCGAATTGTGAACTTGGGCGGATCAAAACCCAACTTAATTTCTATTTCAACCCATTTTAATATCTCCAATTTCAACCTAACCCCTCACACCCCTACCTGTGCAAAATCATTCAATGAGATTGCTCAAATACTCAACTTCAGGACATATGGGCAGATGCGTATCTAGAGGGGGTGCCGTGGGTTCACGTGAACCCATGCTCCCCTCTCTAGATCATGTGTAGTAATGTTATATTTTTAAAAAAATATTTAAATATAGATGTGTGAACCCATGTTCAAAGTATATTATATAATAATGCGATGATGATTGGGTGCACCTTTCTAAGTAAGGATATAAATTTAAATCTTATATCTATCTTGTCTCTGTGAGTAATACCTTTTCAAGTGGTTATCGGTTACACTTTTGACGTTTCAACTAATTTTACTTTTGTTTTTTTTCTTTAATCATTCAAAATTTTCAAGTGTGTTACATTGAAAATTCCTAAAAAATTTAACATTGTAAATTTTTTATATAATTAAATCAAATGTGTATATTAAAATTTAAAACTAGTAGTATTATACATTTTGAACCTATAATTTTTAAAATTTAATGGTTCATATACAAACTAAAAGTCAAATTGATCAAATTTATATTTAAAATATATTTTTTCGTAATCGTGCACCCATCTAGCCGAAATCCTGGATACGCCTTTGCATATGGGGACTGGGGTGGTGGCATCACTATTCAAGCCCAATACTTATAGCATTGACCAAGCATCCTCGAACTCTTTTTTTTATCATCAAAATTATCATTCTGGGAGTGCAATCACATACAATATACATATAAAATTATTAGAAGAATCTTTAACAAGACATTTTGTTACTCATTATGATTTATGAATATGACAATATGTAACTGGTCGAGAAGTCAGTAATAATATTAAGGACATTGAAAAGTGTGCTTGTGGATAAAAGGAGGTTTAGACTGCAGACAAAAAAAAAAAGTAGGTCCATTTGGAACTTATCCAACCATAGGATAATCCAAGTCACTCTCGCATCATTTTGTGAATTATCTGAATTACAAGTTGTGCAAAATTGGGATTCACAAAAATCTACATACATAATTCTTCTTTACGTGTCTATCTATCCATACACTTAAAAGACCCATGTTGTTTCCTCCAGTCTTGTCCATGCCTTGTCTTCACCCTTAAATATCAATCTCTCTTTCATTTCTCACCATCAACACAATAATTCAAGAACTTCCATATATTCTATTGAAATTCAGAGGCAACAAAAATAGGAACAAACAATCATGAGAACTATTTCCCTTCATTCAACCTCATTTTCACTTCTTGAGTTCCATGGTACCAAGAATTTGGCACACAGGTATATTTATATGCATTGAAAAGTTGAAATCTTTTGATTAATTTCATTTTTTTTTTCCAATGGTTGTTTTATGTTTCTGTTTTTTACTCTGTTTTATGATTTGAATGCTATGTAACAGCAGGATCAATGGATCGGTTTCGTTAATTCCAATGGCAAGGTCTCAATTTCAGCCTAAAAAAAGACGTGACATTGGTACTAGCAATAGAAATCCGAGTTTTAGGTGGGTTTTTGAGTATATCTATATCCCCTGTTTTATGTTAGTTCTCTGTTTTTGGTTTCAAAATGGGTGTTTGAACAAACAATATTTGTAGCTGGATGGCAACAGTTGGAGAGAAAGTGCAGAACTCCACTGTTCCTACTTCTGTTCCTGTTCGAGTTGCACTGGAATTGCTTCAAGCTGGCCATCGTTATTTAGATGTCAGGTAATGCAAATTTATGCAGCTTTCTCTGTTCCAATTTATGTAACGTAGTTCGAATTTTGAGAGTCAAACAAGCATTGTGTGACATACTATTTCTTGCCATGTAGTTTCTAAACATATAAATTATTTTTCAATTTTTTAAAGATTATATGTCCAAATTTTTTTATCAATCATTAGTATGGAAGATTCAATCTTTTAACAATTTTTTTTGTGCAGAACTGCTGAAGAGTTCAGTGATGGGCATGCTGCTGGGGCCATAAACATTCCCTACATGCTTAGAATTGGATCAGGTTCGATCATTAGTAATTCAATAGTACTCACTTTTTCTGAGTTCTCGTTAATAACAATATTTAAGTTTTTCAATTTATTTGTTTACAAGTGTCCTCTTTATTTCCAAGTGGCAACCATGCACTATAGATCGTTTTCTACAATTGTTATTGAGTTCTCAAAAATTGAAATGGTGGCAGTTACTAGCTAGTTCGCCTGGTTTCTCCTTGCCGTGTGTTTTCAAGTTTACATGTAAAATGTATTTTGTTCATCTTACTTCTCTTTCAATTTTCTTACTTGCTCATAGACGGAGGGTTATTTAATTATATATCCATGACTGTGTTACAATTCTCTTGTTCCATTTTTATTCCTTTGAAAATATCTTGGCAACTTGGAAAACATAACTCATACACAACTAAAGCTTCAAACCAACTTAATTAAAGTCATTATATTGTTTGGTTGTACATAAGAGCGATTTTTGGTTAGTCTTTGAAGATAAGTGTTGCTAGTATTTTTTTCAAGTTAATTGCATGTTTGAACACAATTTTTACTTTCAAATACCCCTTTTTAACTTCAACTTTAAATACTATTTTTTCTGTATATCACTCCATTCATGTCCAAGTACATATTAAGGACTAAAAACCAGAAAAGAGTTGTTTAAAGTTCACTTAAGAAAAGGAAGAGCTAGAGACCAGAATTTGCATGAAATGTGTTCAAATATGAACAAAGAGTACTCTCTGAAGTTTCATTTGTTTTTCACGATAATGTTTTTATGCAAGTGCATCTCATTTTTTTAGTCCAAGTATCTGTTCTTCTTTGAGTTGTATTTAAGTTTCCCACATCGGAAGCCAAAGCAGGACTCGAACGCAAGTGTTTTGTAATAAAAGTCAGTCACTTACACTGGACAAAGCATACCTTTCTCGGCCTTTTGGCTAAGATCAAGTGTAGTATCTGTTCTTATCAGTTTAATATCTGATATGTGGGCCATTGGTCCACACGATATTAACTCAATTTTTTAAGGGGGAGAGTCCATTAAGGTAGCTTGCTGCCTGGGCTCTTGCGCGTCGCCCATGCGTTGCACTACTGCACGGGCCTGGCGCACCCCACCAATTCAAGTTCAATTTTTTTTTATGTTATGTTTTGCTCTATCATTACCTCCATCCCCTCACATTCATAATTTTTATTGGTAACTCCTAAGTAAGAAATATAATCAGTGTATTGACATTTTAAGGGGTAAATTTCACATCATTGAACCTTATATATTCTTAATAGATAGTGTTACCAAAGTCCAAAATACCCAAATCTACAGTAGTAGTTTTTAGCACTCTGCTAGTATAGTATTCTTTAGCTCTGTATATTTGGTGCAGGGATGATAAAGAACCCCAATTTCTTGGAGGAAGTGTTGGAACATTTTGGGAAGGATGATGAAATTATAGTTGTAAGTCCACAAAACTACTAGTATTAATTTTATTTTAATAATATAAGCTTCAATTTCACGAGTTAAGATGTCAATTTCTTTTTGCTTAGTAAAATCTTTTGTTGACTTCGCATTATACAGGGATGCCAGTTGGGTAAGAGATCATTTATGGCTGCAACTGAACTTCTTGCTGCTGTAAGTCCCTTACATACTACAGCTTTAGAATAGAAAATTCTTGAAAATGAAAGTAATATTGGGCCAAAAAATATAGTCGAGCCTCTACGGATTGAATTGTGAATTATGTTGACATAAAGTCCTACGTACGCTACTAGTTAATTACGTGCTATATATTGTGCAGGGATTTACTGGGGTGACTGACATTGCTGGTGGATATGCTGCTTGGACAAAGAGTGGACTTCCGATTGAGTCTTGAATATAAAGCATTAATTGCCTTTTATTTACTCACATATAAAAGGGTAGATTAATAAATAAGTACACCATCTTAATTACTTATGAATATAATAACCAGTAGTCAACATGGCGAAATCAATTCCCGTTCATCACATCAAAATGTGGCAGAAAGTTCAAGAAGTAACTTGCAAGATCTTTTGTATAGTAATTTATATTAGGTGATATCCGATGTGGGAGAATCTGTATTGCAAGCAATATATGTAAATATTGTTCTTCTAATTCTGCTGTAATAAATAATATTGGCCTGAAATGCCTCTCATCTGATGACTTCCCCCCTCTCCCAAAATGGTTGCAATGTTTGCTTTCGTAAAGAACTCAGTGAGATTTAGTCGGAGCTCTAATGCGGGCTCTGGACAATGGGTGGAATTTAAAAAAAAAAAAAAAAAAGAAGAGAGCACTTCCTAACTTATGAGGGACACTTTATAAATACTATTGCAAAAAATTTCCAACGAAACTTGGAAACTTGTAAAAATTATTATTGAATATCTAATTCGAAAAATGAATTTAACTATTACGAGAGATTTAATATCGAAGTAACAAAAAGCGGTTAAATAATTTGGAACAGAGGGGATGATATAAACACTTGTATAGTTATATGTTCTTGGGATTAATTCTAAACAAGGAAAACTGACAAGCCAGCTTTATTTTACTTCCTTGCTTTGGATTGAAAACAAAGATAAATAAGTAGACGGTAGGTACATATAGATTAGGTGGTCTAATTGATCAACACACAAGGAAAATTAAATAATCTCATTCTTAAATTAAGGAATCCTAACGAATAACAACCGGATGGAAATATGATTAAAAAGAATGGTTATGCATTTGCAAATTTGAATTCTCTGGTGTGAAAAATATTTACACAATCAACACATATAATGTAATTTACATGTTAAAATCTAAGATAACTATTAATTGATAACTTGCTAAAAATAGTAATTATATCAGTCTATTATAACATATTAACATGTTTAATTATATTGACGTTAGCGTATATAAACTAAATCTTTTTTTAGTTTTATGTTTATCTTCTTTGACTTTGTACAAATATTAGTTGGTATATGTTCAAGCCATGTCCTAATATTAGTGGCCCCTGCCCTGGTGGAAGAATGGTCCTTTGAAATACTTAAAAGTTACACAAAATCAATTTCATCTTGCCACGTTCTAGTAGACCTATTTTTCCATTCTCTTACTTTAATAACAAACATGTTGCCCACGCTTCCTTATTTCCACAATGTTAGTACAACACACATAAAATCTGTCCAATTCAGTAGCTCTACCAGAATTGAGTTTTGACAAAAATATTACTAATTAGTAGTATCAAAGATGAGGATGTCCAAGAAGAATTGGTTTGGTAATATCAGAAAGAAACTATTCAGGTCATCTCCTCCACATAAAAATATCATTGTTCTTCATAACAACACAATTACCAATAGGACTAGCAGCGCCAATGGACGGTCATCTACAAAGAAAAATAATGGGCACATCTATTTTATGTCGAAAGAGGATATGGCTGCTATTACTATCCAATCTCATTTTAGGGGACATCTTGTAAGTTCTACCAATTTTAGTCAGTTATCTTTAATTTGACATTACTCACTACTAGAAACAATTATTTTTTCTCACCGCTAATCGGTGAAAATTGTGCTAATAGAACATGATTTTCCCACCAAATCAGCTCACTGAAAAAATGCATGGTGGAAAACAAATTCTCGTTGAAATACTGAAAAGCTTCCTTACTTTTCCATATGAAACAATAATTACAATACTACTTTTCTTTCACATCGATTCAATCAAAATATCTGTGGAAATAATCATTGAACATTTTTCAATGGGAAATAGTGATTTTTTTAGTAGTGAACATTTGCTAATACATGTGTTGTTGATTCAATATTTTAGGCTAGACGGGCGTTTAAGGCACTGAAAAGCCTTGTGAGGCTTCAAGCAGTGGTACGAGGGGCATGTGTGAGAAGACAAGCACGGATAGCTCTGCATTGCATGCACGCCCTTGCACGATTGCAGGTTACTGTCCGAGCTAGGCAACTCCTCAGCAAGTGCAATGACCGTTGATAAAAAATCTTTTTAATAGTGTAAAAAAAATATTCTGCACCGTCAAAGTACGTATAGAAGTTAAATTCTTGACCAATTTTCAGATGCAATTCAACGAAAATTAATTATAGGGGAATCAGATCATAGGATGGAAGGAATTACTGAGTCAGAGTGCCTGAACATGACTTGTAATTTTGTACGTCTATTTCTTGTTTAGAACTTGGTATTGCAACTAACAAATGTTTCCAGTGTTGTACTTGCATATGGTATTTTCTTTTAGATTTATATAGATCTTATAGGTTTGATTTTTCTAAGCTTTTGAAGAATATGTCGATTATCTGAAAGATATGAATGTTCTTCTAAAGTACATATACTATGTGTGTATGTGGTTACGTTGTAATATGATCTAATTTTCTTCTATTCTTGTTTCTTTATGTCTTGCTAACAGTTGATTCTTTTCCATCTCTTAGTACCAAAAAAGCTAGTATTTGTTTTCATCGTTATTTCTTTTCAAATTATACACCTAGACTCTATGAACCTCAAATTTCACTTCAATTCAATTGCAGAGGTATCTATCTATCTATACATTGAAAGCTAGTCAGGGGTGGTTTACTCAATTCTTTGTGACAATGGTTATTTTTTATAGACATCTTGGTTGAACATCAATTCGGAAGCAATGATCTGGTAGCTAGAACCAGATAAAGAGGATAAAAATTCTCAATAAGAAAGGTACAAAAAGGGTTAGGAATTAGAACTTGCGCAAATTCACAGTTATTCTGTACAGAGTTGCCAAAGCTTTACTCACCAGCTTGCACCCCTGACTAAATTAGGAATAGTAAAAGAATGCCAAGCGACATTAGATAAAAACCGTGATTTTCAAAAACTAATCAGATCAAGTCTGGTCATCTGAGAATCTGTACACCGAGACAAAAGCTGAAGGCCGATCACCCTCATCTCTTTAGTAAATTCTCAGTGATTGCCCTTTCTAAGAGACGAAAAAAAGCTACCGATTGATTTGTCTTTGTGTCTGTCCTCTCCATCATCTCCAACCTGTTTTTTCAAGCATACAAAACTAGGTTCAAAGGAATGAACAAACTTAAATAAAACCAAGCTAATTTAATACAAATGCCTACCTCCCTAGTTAGTTGCTTCAGAATATCCAAAATCTCCGAGAAATCTGGTCTCTGAGTTGGGTCTTGCTGCCAGCATTTTTCAAGAAGTTCAGCAAGCTTTGGATGAGTGCTCTTAGGAATTGTTGGCCGTAGACCCTGATAACCATGTCAAACCAAATGTGAGGTGTTGGTTTAACTGGGGAAGATATCACAAGTACTGATGATGACAGTGGACTTTATACTACCTGTTGCACCACACCTATTGCTGCTTGTAATGGTGTTAAGTACGCATATGGAATCTGCCCCATCACAGTACATGAACGTTAGTTGAGGTGTCAAGCAGCTAACACATGAACATAAATAGATGCAACACAGAGACTTACTTCGCCAGTCAGAAGTTCCCACATCACTATACCAAAGCTGAAAACATCAGCTTTGTGGTCGTACGGTTTGTGTTCAATCACCTTCAACAAATAAAAACCATTTTAAGACCGAGACTTGCATGCTGCAGGATGGTTAAGCACAAAACTGGGATAGAAATGACGGGGATAATGTAAGAGAATGTTGTAGTATTAAGAGGAAAATAAGTCAAAACCATTACACCAAGAGGTTCATATTTTAATACTTAATATTGCAGAATCGAATGTATCTGCATGGTATACTGTAGAGGAATCCTGCAATGCATATTACCAATGACAACCTACGTAAAGTAACCCTCGTAGAAGGTTATCGAAAGCTCCGTGTGCTTAAAGTATCCAAGATGCATCAAGGTGAACACAGAAACACAAGTCACAACTCACAACTGCATGAAAGTGAGAATGTGACAACCACACTTTACTGAGTGTGGAAACAAAATCCAAGTACAAGGATAAAATTGCAAAAGTCAGAGAGAATCACACATATTAAAAGCACCTCGTGCTTAAACCACACAAGATGCTTGAGGTGTATCCCAAAGCACTAGTCCCAAACCAGCTCGAAGGGAACTATTGCAGTTATTTTATGGTGGCAACAAAATCTAAGCACGAGGATAAACGGAAAATTAGTGGAGCAATCATGCATATCTGTCATCAAGAAAATCAAAGAACTTGGAATCATGAATTTCAACTGGATTGAGGATATTGCAGTAAAATCTGCATAAAATTAGTTCAGATCTTCTGCACCTCAGGAGCCATCCATCTATACGTTCCAGTTTCTGCAGTCATCACCCCAGTTTGAGTCTGCACTCTAGCAACCCCAAAGTCACCAACCTTAACAACCTGTTAAGGAGAGGATGGATCTTATAGTTAGAGTGAACATTCTGTAAACAAAGAAAATAACGTGGGAAGTAACTCCGCCCAGCAGCAGTTTAGGTGTTGCTGTGTGATTAAGCAAAGTTCATCAATGCATTTCCTTGGAAATGCAAAAACTGGTGATGTAGAAATTAACAAGAAACAATGTACTATTTTGGACATTCACATTTTTCAAAATATGAACCAAATTAAATTGCAACTGATCAAGCTTTAATGCTGCTACTATTACTCATAGATATTCTTTTTATAGGATTCAATGAATAAGTGGACCCTGCAAATGAACTTTTCCATCGACTTTATTTGGCATTTCTTCTAAAGGTTTCAATACTGCAGTCCAATCACAGATTATGGTTCTTTCTCTTAAAATAGTTTTCAGAAGATATCATCCATATAATTAGACACTTCAAATAACCTATTAAAAGGGCCCTGAGCAATGAAAAACCTTGGACTTCTAAGCCATACAGATCTCAGTGTTTGCATATTAACCTTGAATTGCCTTCATGTTTAATTGCACCCAAATTTTTGCATGAGAATGCATGTACTGGTTTTAGGATAGCTTAGTCGCAGATGAAATAATACACTAGACTCTAGAAAAATAATACTCTAGACAAACTTTTTGAAACAGTTGCAGTACAGCTCTGACTTACTCCATGTTCATCCATCAGAAGATTGGCAGTCTTCAGATCCCGATGAATTATGTTATTTTGATGCAGATAGCTCATTCCCTTAGAAACATCAATTGCAACCTTCAGGAGAGTAGGAAGCTTAAAAGCACCTCTTTGCTTGTGCAAAAAAGTATAGATGCTTCCTCTGGTCATGAACTCTGATCAATAAAATTATCAGATGCACCTTGTCATTAACATGATGAAGAAGCATAGATGTACACCAAAAAGTTACAAAAATAAGCTGCCATTCAAGTGCAGTAGTGTGAGGAGAAAATTCAAAATTTGGAAAATGAATAAAAGCACACCTCTGCATATAAAACACTATGGATCTGCCGGCAAACATTATGTAACAGTAATCAACAGAGAACAAACAGTTTCTCCAATTTATTAACCGACCTAGAAGTTCACTTTAAATATATAAAATCTTGAAATATACCTGTCACGATGCACAGGTTCGGAGGTCGTGTGCATGCCCCTATAAATTGAACAACATTTTTGTGCCGAATTTTCCTAAAACATAGTGAGACAAGATCTCAAAACTTGATCAAAGAAAGTAAGAAACAGGAAATAGGAAATAGGAAGCTAGACTGATAAAACAATTTTAGTAATAAAATTCAAATTCACATATCCACTAATGTTTAAATTTGTAGTTTTTCCAAGACTTTTAAGTGTGTTTTGGGAGAACCTAGTCCCTTGCATTATGTATGATCCAGCTTTTTCATCCAAATAGCCTAATGCCACTAAAAAAAATAAAAAATAGCCAAATTCCACATATAGAAGAAATACCTAGTGACTCAACAAAGTATAAAGGAAACAGGACATTCAATTTAACCGCAGGAGTAAAATATTGTAAGAAATTCTCTAGTGGCACAGAACATTTTTTTTCAATAGAGTACGACTCTATCTAGGAGTAAAAAAAAACAATCCTCAGATAGACTTTTAAGTATGGAAAGATTCTCTAAGTTATGCTGAAAGAGATTATCAACCATGATAGTACAACAGACACACCTCATGATAAAGACCTCCTGAGAGAACTCTTTTACCATATCCATATTCAAATTTTCAGGCTTGAGAACTTTTATAGCCACTTCCTGGCTACAGTATGTGCCTTTATACCTGAAAAGACACGGTATAAATCCACTGACTCAACAAACTCAACTAGAAATCAAGATATGGATTGTTGGCTCATACAGATCTCCAAATGACCCAGATGCTACTTTGTTTTCAAATTTCAGCAGGCGGATGTCAATTTCCCAGTCATCTGATCCATCAGTAGGTATTTTTACACTATCGGAGACTGATTCAGATGTTTGACCTGGCTCATTGATTGGAGGCAGGACCTGTGGCTGCTCCTGAAAAACATTACCAGAAGACAAAGCACTGAGATCATCTGTCTAATATGATAATCAAAATCTAGAAGACAATATAACAAGAAAACTTGTTCAAATTTGAACCTACAATTAGTAGGTTCAGTTGGAAATATGTTTTAGTCAGTTACTAAAGTTTACCCTCCTATGATTTAGGAGTCCTTAAGTCGTGTCAAAGGCTTATGCTAGAAGGAAAAATAGTGAATTTTTAGTACTTTTTATTTTTATTTTGACAACTTTGATTTAAGATGAGCTTAAATATAGGATTAGTGATTCATACAACTGACCCCAACTTGACTGGATTGAGGCGTAGTTATTGTTTTGATGCCTTCTATCATTTTATAACCAAAATCTCATGCATATTTCACATAAGAAACAGGAGAAAATTGAAGAGATAACGGTGTACCAGTTGCTGAAAAAGTCGAGCCAGTCATAGAAATCAACAACAGTAATACTTGGTTAATTTTATTTTCTTACAACCCCATTTAACATAACATAAGTATCCTACCAACCTATGATTATGTCAGGCATCCAAGCCCAAGTTGTCAAGTAATAATTAAGTTGAGCTTTAAAATTTCCTGTGAGGATTCATATTTCTTTTTT